CTTAGGAACTAAGCTTCATCTTAGCTCAACTTATCATCCTCAAACTGATGGACAATCAGAAAGAATCATTCAATCCTTGGAAGATTTGTTGAGAGCATGTGTGTTAGAAGATTCTGGTAGCTGGGACCGATACTTATCATTAATTGAATTTACTTATAACAACAGTTTCCATTCTAGCATAGGTATGACACCCTATGAGGCATTGTATGGGAAAAAATGTAGGACACCTTTATGTTGGTTTGAAACTGGAGAAAATTTAATCTTAGGTCCTGACATGATTCAACAAACCACGGAGAAAATTAAGATGATTAGGGAAAATTAAGAACAACTCAAAGCCTGCAGAAAAGCTATGCTGACAAGAGAAGACGACCCATTGAATTCCAAGAAGGTGAACATGTATTCTTGAAAGTAACACCGACAACCGGAGTTGGTAGAGTAATGAAAGCCAAGAAACTCACTCCTCGATTTATTGGTCCCTATCAAATTCTTAGAAAAATAGGTCCTGTTTCTTATCAAATTTCCTTACCCCTTTTCCTTTCTAATCTTCATAATGTGTTTCATGTGTCTCAATTAAGAAAATATATTTCTAACCCTTCTCATGTAATAATGCCAGATACAGTACAATTAAAGGATAACCTTACATTTGAAACAATGCCTGTACAGATTACAGATATGAAGATTAAGCAACTGAGGATAAGACAAATTCCACTAGTGAAGGTTATTTGGAATGAAATTACTGGAGACGCTACATGGGAATTAGAAAAGAAAATCAGGGAAAGTTACCCCTATCTATTTTAGTCACTAAAAATTTCGAGCACGAAATTTTTGTAAGTATAGGAGAAATGTAATATCTCAAAAAAAATAATAAATTGAAAGATAAAGTTAACTTATCTTAATGGGTAAGTTTTATCCAAGTCATTAATGATTTTAATGACTTCATTAAGTAAAAAAAAAATATGGCTATAAAAAGGGATAGGGGGGAAGTTGCGGGAGAAAGAGAAAGAAAGGATAAGGGAGAAAGAGAAAGGGAGAGAGAGAAAGGGAGAAGAGAGAGAAAGAAGGAGAGAGAGAAAGAGAAAGAAAAAGAGAGAGGGAGGAAGAGAAAGAGAGAAAAAAAAATTTGTCTCTGCAAAATTTCGATATCTCATCTGTAACTCTTAAGGTAGGGGAGGAGACATTCATCAATATTTTTTTTTTCACTTATGGTGTAGAGTGAGGTGTCCCTAACCTCATTCTATTTATTTCATTTTATCTCCAGTCTTGCACTGGTCCTATTTTACTTATCTCTAGTTATGTACTGTTTGTTTATTTTATTTTATCTTCAGTCTTGCACTGATCCTATTTTACTTATCTCCAGTTATGTACTGGTCCTGTTTGTTTATTTTATTTTATCTCCAGTCTTGCACTGGTCCTATTTTAATTATCTATAGTTATGTACTGATCCTATTTGTTTATTCTATTTTATCTCCAGTCTTGCACCTGGTCATATTTTAATTATCTCCAGTTACATATTGGTCATGTTTGTTTATTTTATTTTATCTCTAGTAATGCAACGATCATATTCATTAATTTATAGTTATATTATTCAATTATAATAATATCTATTTGTGAAGATTTGATGATATTGTAGATGGAGGTTGGGCCTTGAGGATTTAAATGAGTAAATATCACTCGTGAGAGTGATTAAAATTGAGCTCATTTATCCCGACTAGTCACTACAAATTTAATTTAAATCTTCATAAAATTAAATGCGTTGAGCAAGTTTAAACATATATATATATATATATATATATATATATATATATATATATATATTATAAGATTGTATTATTGTAAATGATAAATGTTCTCACTCCCTATTGTGATCTTTTGTGCTTGTTTTATTTAAACACCAACTTAAGTAGATGGAGGCGCCAAATATTCCAAATCTCTTTTCTGCAAGTATCATTGCCTTCTTTCCGAACTACTTGGAACACGAATGTTATAGACGGTTACTTTTAGAGGGACGAGATTTTCAATAATAACATTTGTATCTGATATGAAAAATCCCATTATGTTAGATGAGTCAGTAGTGGTTACCTTTTGTATGCCTCATACCTTTTTCCAAAACCCCTTAATCAGCTTGTTTCCACCGACAATGTAGATACTTGTAAAATTGTAGAAAAAAAATAGAAGGAATCAAAAATAAAAATTCCTTCTTCTTTTGTATATCTTATATAGTGATGTAAATTACTTTTACATATATGTAATATTTTTTTCACCTCCTACTATTATACAAATAATAATATAAAAAAAGTCACAAATTTCCAATAATTGAAGAAGAATAAAAATATAACTTAAAAACGATTTCATGTTCTTTTGTATTAAATAAGTGTAAAATATACATTAATTTTCAACCTAGACATTGCAAAAGCTAATATTAGACGAAACAAACAAACACGTAAAAATAGGAAACAACAATGATGGCGTAAGGTTTATCTTCGAGAACATATACGTACCAAATGAATTAAAGATAGACCAAGGTGGATATTATTGGGACAGAAGTGCTGGAGCCACATTGTTATCAATTAACTACAAATCTTCATGTAAAAAAAAGACGAAATTTTAAGAAAGATAACCAACTAATAGAGCAAAAATTAATTCAATCTTTTATGCACATACAACTTATATATATTCACGGTAGTAAACTACTTTGGCTGAATTTAAGAGATGTTCACAAAAGGAACATCTAAATGATTCTTCATTAAAAATAAATGTTTGCTCTAAAATAATAAATAAGATTTTTGTTAAAAATAAAGAGATATCCAATTCAATCAAAATAATACATAAAATTTTTATTAAAAATAAATTATATCTAATTTAATCTTAAAAAGAAAATCAATAAATTAAATTTATATATTATAATGATAATATATTTTTAATGATCTAAATTTTTAATTAAGAAGAATTTTCATGTCTCAATATTATTAAAATTAACTTTGATACCTTATTAAAAATAAAAAATATATAATTTAATTTTACAAAAAATTAATTATTTATACTAGTATATATTCTATAATATATATATATATATATATATATATATATATATTACATCATCTCTATAAAATTTTTCATAAGGTTTATTTGTGAATATAAAATATTTTGTTGTGATTATATCCATTAAAAAAATTTGATCATCAAATATACAATAATAATGACGAAATATTAATTTGGAAGTACTTTGTCTTCGTATGGCAAGATTATAAGAAAATATTATATTACTGATGGATATATATTCGTCGGAAAATAAGTGAGTATTGACAGAAATTATCGACAAGAGTAATTGTAGAATTTGGTCTTACTGATGTATATATTTGTCAGTAAATGAACAATTAACTACCAATAAATATATTCGTCGATAAATCCGTCGGTAAATGAATAATCAATTACCACGGATATATCCATCGAAAAATTTGTCGATAAATAAACAAATAATTACCGACAGATATATCCGTCGATAAATTAATAATTTTGATAAATGGACAATTAGTTACCGAAGGATATATCATTGATAATTATTTATTCATTTACCAATAGATTTACCGACGAATTTAAAGTATATTTTTAAAAATCAATATTAAATTAAAAAATTAAATATTTAAAATGATATAATAATTACTTAATTTTAAATGTATTCTAACAAACACCACATGCATTTTCACCATCCGTCGAGCGCACTCTCACATTTAACATATAAATATATAACTATATAAATATATATAAATATATAAATATATTTATATTTATATGTTTTATATTTATATATTTACACGGATATACATTCATTTGTATATAAATATAATTTATTTATAAATTATTATTAGAAAAACTTAGTAGTAAATAAATATATAACTATATAAATATATCTAAATATATAAATATATTTATATTTATATGTTTTATATTTATATATTTACACGGATATACATTCATTTGTATATAAATATAATTTATTTATAAATTATTATTAGAAAAACTTAGTAGCCTAGTAGTTGGTGTATAAACCTCGAACTAGTAGTTGGTGTATAAACCTCCAACTAAGTTACTGAGTAATGTGTCCTACTTACCAACAAACTTATCGACCGAAGTTTTCAAATTCTTCGATATACAAATTTTTTTAGTTACCCACGAATTTTGTCCATCAGAAAATTTAATTTTCCTTTAATTTTCATTGTAATACAAATAATTAAAGGAGTTATATAGACTTAATTAAAATATATTAACAGTTTAATTTTTTTTACGATAGTTTAAATTATCCAAAATTTTTACTGATAATTTTAATTAGGTTATATAACCTTTAAAACATCTTTCATCTTTTTTTAACTTTTTCATTAATCATATTAGTTCTAATGAGGAAATTTATTTTATATTAAGATTAATAAAATTTGAGGTAATTAATATTAAATTTTTTAAAAATAAATAATTTGTAACTAAATTCTAAACAATGTGAAGTAATTAAAAATGGGAGTATTGTTTTTTTCTATATAATTTGGTAATATTTTTTGTAGTATTTCATATAGAAATATTCCATCAAATGTTGATTGATGGTTGAGGTTTTGACGTAACTCCACTTATATTTACTCTTACTTATAAATTCCTTAAACTTTCCCATAAGAAATGAATCTCTTTTTTAAGATAAAAACAAGTAAGCATAAAATATTGAATTAAAACTCGTGATTAAGTTGAAAATCATCTTAACTTTCAGATATAATCTTAAATTTTATAAACTAGTTTATAAATAAGTTGGTGATATTTATACAGAATTTAGACCAATACATAATTTTATTGCAAATAATACTAATAATAATAATAATAATTTCATGGATGAAGGTTTTGGAAGGTGGGAGCATGATATTTGTAAAAGGTAGCATATGATAGATTTGCAAACTGCAATGCACCACAGTGAAGCTAACAACAGAGAATCATACTAATTATTGATAGAAACAGAGATCATGTACTCATATTCCAGAAGAGAATGGCACCCCTGTAGCAGGAATCCACCTTTCTCCTTGCAGAAATTGGCTCACTGTGAAGGGTGAGGCCTCAGTGGCACTCCTCAGAACATGAAAACCAGGCCAACTTACCCTATTTTGTGTAGAGGCACCATTTCCGGTGTTCATATACTCTCCATAGAACAAAGTTGAGAGTGCAAAGTTTCCACTCCATTCACCCCACCCTCTTGGCTGAATCAGCCCATCCAAGTCACTCTTCAGGTACACAGTCCTTGAGTACTTCTTCCAAGGCCTTCCAAGGAATGTCTCGTAAGAATCCTTTAGGGTCACAAACTCTGATGCTGCTCTAACCCTGCAACCATGGATGGCAATCCCAGTGTTCTTGTACGGGTCATCTCTTCCTTGTGCTGTGATGAAGTTCGATTGGTGGCTCATTGGCTTCCTCACTAAGATGTCACAGTTCTGTAGCACCACTGTGGCATCCCCGAATATGAAATCTATGGTGCCATATATGTGACAGTCACGGTAGAATTGGCGATTTGAGTGCACGTAAAGAGTGTCTTGGTAGCCTCTGAAGCTACACCTATAGAAGACTGATAAGTCTGAACTAACCTTGATTGCCACTGCTTGGTGTTTTTCTGGCCCTGCAGTGTTCTCAAATGTCATGTCTCTCGCCCAAAATCCATCCCCTGATACATCTGTTTCATGTACCAAACTCAGTTAGCAAACTATTTGATACTTAATTCACCGTACTTACTTCAAACTATGATAACAGGATCTTTTCACCATCATCTTAAATAACTTTGAAATATAATTATAGCAATATAATAATACAATTCTTTAAGTCTTACCAAATGTGGCTGAGCCCATAGTGGAAGAACCTTGAACAACATTTCTGTTGCCAGTAACAATAGTTTTGTCTATGCCATCTCCTACAAGCATCACATCATGCAGTTTCTCTCCAATTTGCACCTTCTCATTATAGACCCCAGATTTTACATGTATGATTGCTCTTGCAGGACGGTTGTGTCCCATTGCAGCAAGTGCATTCACTGCTGCTTGTATTGTTCTGTGGCTCCCTGAACCATCCTCTGCCACTGTGAAGTCTGGTTTATAGCTTGTTTCACTCCATGATTCTAGAATACCAGAGCTTGATTCTGATATTGTTCCCTGTGGTCCTGAACAAACAATTCAAATATCAATACAACAAAATACTAAGATTCTATAGCATTAATTACTCTATTTATTCTACTGTAGAACGTAGAATGATATCTGTTTCATATTAAAAGTGTCATTTTACCATCAATGATACATTAAATAATGGTATATCATTAAGAATATAGTAAGAGTAAATGGAAGAGATATAATATAATAAAAAGTTATATAATATTTTCTCTAAAATCTAAAATATTAATCATATTTTTAAAATTTGATCAAACCATATTATGTATGGTTGGTAGTTGGTGACAGAGAATATTAGCTTTGAGTCATGAATGGAGAAGAAACCAAATAATTAGTGACAATTTAACAAAACATCATAAGTAACAGTTAGTAGTAATTTGACCATGTACTAAGGTAGACCAAATGAATGAATTTATTGCATATCACAGTCATCGTTCTTCGATTTCTTTTGTTTGTTTGATGTAGTAAAGGACAATATTCTGTCCTTAATAAAGACATTCTTCTAACTTCTTTTGCCCAAAATATTCAAATCGTATATATCCTTTAGGAAATATAAGAGGAGATAAGTTCAAACACGTAGTTTCTGCAAAAGTGCAAAATCAAATTAACACCTAAAATTACGTGAAAGGAGTAAGAAAGTTACTATTAAGAAATGCATTTTATATATTTTTTGTCTTTATCTAATTTATTTTCTCACAAATTTAAAAATTTGAATTTAATTCCTAGTTAATTTCTAATCAGAGGAGTTTATTGTTTCATGTTATTTTGTAATTAAAGGGGTTTATTGAAATAGGTTTTAGGTTTTGTCTATATATTTGTCCAAATTGGACTCACCAGAGAGCCGTGTATACACCATATATGTGTTAAATTTTTTATCTGAAAACCTCTCAGATTTTATCACGCTATTGATTAACATATATTAATATATATATGAATTGGATTCTGTAATTTATAACTGTTTTTTAATTCTTTTTTTAACTACTTTTTTTTTAATTTATCTTAATCTTTATATTTTATAACACTCCCTAGTATTTTATAATTATTTTTTAGTTAATTTGATAAAATATAATTTTATATGTGACAAGAATATGTGAACTCATATTTGCTACTAGTAGGTATTTCCACTAGTTTAATTTAATAAAAATATTTTAAAAGAAATTCAATTAAGTCCTTTTAATTTAAGACACCAAATAATATAAAATCTAAATAAAAAATCAAAATTACATTTTATCTTTTTTTTATACACTTTGTAACAAAATATTGAAAATTGAGATAAGCAAATGAGAAAAATAAATAAATTTTTGGTATATAGATAGATAGATAAAAAATGTGAAGTATATATATATATATGCTGGGGTGTCTAAATGCTGTCTTATTTTAAAATAGGTTTACTGATGGACTGCATGGAAACCACCACTTTTTTATTTATGTAACATTTAGTGAAATAACCAGAATATAGATAATATTTAGTTTATGTCAAAGATGATACATTCACTATTATATATATATATATATATATATATATATGAAAATTCCCTTTATATGAAGATTCCTGAAAACTACTGATATATCAATCAAAAGTCACAAGGAAAAATAAGGCCATTATTTGACAATAAGATATCTACCAAAAGTAACTTAATTTTCTGTACCTTTGGCTATGTCTTTATTCCTTGAATACAAAACAAGAGCTTGCTTAAGCGACATGGTCAAGTTTCTATCCAGAACCTGAGCTTGGACATACCCTTTTTCTTGCAAACCATCCAAACAAGTCCTGTGATTTGTCATCACAGCACTTATCCATGTGAGTGCATCTTCTTTGGTGTATCTGCTGTTTTGAGACATCATGTGAGAGAGCCTAAACTCACTCTCCTCATAGAGCTTGGCACAGTCTCTAAGGGCTACATGTACAGCACTTGTTTGGTCAGAAAGGCTCAGGCTTTGGCTTCCAAACCCATTCAATCTCAAAGAGTTTGCAACCCAATTCTTGGCTTGAGAAACATGATTTTGGGCCATTTGGAGGACACCCTTTTCTCGGAGGCAAAGGGTGGTGGTAGTGGTGGCGGCCATGGCAAGGAGAAGGAACAAGGTGGTGGTGGCATATGTGGCCATTTTTTACTCTAGAAGAGAGCAATGAATTGTGATTAGTTGCATGGCTTGGTGTTGTGGGGTGATGATTTATAGCCAGCTGAAGGAAGCACACACATGGATGCTAGCCACCTGGCACTAGGACTTTGTGGCCTAATTAACCTATTCATATGACCTATATGCATTATGTTTGTGGATGAGAAAATTTTCATAGTATATAACCAATTTTTTCTTTAACATAAGAGTAATGTTTTACATGTGGGTGGGTGAAATTCAAATCAAACGATATTAACTCGAGCAAAGTATTTTTCTGAGAAATTGTATGAATGAGTAATGAAACATGAAAAAAAGTTGATCAGAAATTTTCCTTAACCAAACATCATTAACTTAATTAATGTTTATCAAATAAGCTAGTTGGCTATCTTAACTTGCACAATTTTCTTTCCAAAAACTACTTCTTGAAGAAGTCTCACATTTCTTTTGTCATGATATGTACAGAATTCTTCAACCCTAATGGTAGTAATATATTCTCTTAATTAATTTCAAGTTCTTGTTAAAATTCAATGCTTCATGTGTAAACATTCTCATGCATGGGTTGGAGAAGATAAAACATCACTCTGTCAGCCATTGTTATACTCTCTGCACGAAATCCACCGCTTCACTGGAATCCACTTCCTCCATCCATGCAAACAAACAAAGTAACAAACAATTCATTCATTCTAAGTAATTCTTATTTAAAAGATAGTGATTTAATCTCAATACTTATTTTACAGTTTAAGGTTTCAAGAAACTAGCAAATATAATTTGAAAAATACTATATTAATGATAAAATTTAACTTTTAACTGAATAATTTAAAAAAAAAAACAAATTAAATATTTGCAATGGGGTGCGTCAGTTTCCGAACTAATGGGCGGTGCGGTGCAATGGAGAAGACTTCAATGGTCCCAGACAATAAGGATAAGCATATATTTCGTTTTAAATTTTATAATATATATTTTATAAAAATAAATATATTTTTAATCAGTTTAAAATAATTTTTAATAAATAAATAAATAAAACACTAACACTTTTTAATTATGTATATAATTAAATGAAGTGATTATATGTCATGTGACAATTACAAATGTTTATTTATAAATTTAATAAATCGATCTAATCTAATTATAAGAATTGAAAAACATATCCAAACAATTGGAAATAAAAATCAAATGGTTCATAAATTTGAAAACTGATTTTTTTTTATTGAATCGAATTTGGCATTTGTTTTTAAAAATCAATACTGTCATCATCCAAACTGAATTAGTACATATGTATGTCTTTATTCATATACATTTCTTTCTCTTCATATATATTTATAAAATTATCAGATAAACTATATGTGTATATTCATGAAAAAATATATTAAAATATTATTTTACTATTATTTGAGTTAAGATGTATGATATAATCATTTTAGTCAAATTATTTTTATTAATTATTTTCTTGATTCAATATTTTTGTAATAAACAAAAGTATGATAAATTTTGAAAATTGGTAAGAGAAAATGCTATAAATTATAGAAATGATTGTATTATATGTTCAGAAATTATGTGGAGAAATAATACTGAGCATTCGGTGGGTGAATTCATTGAAAATGGTGTTGTGAAGCAACGTGTTTGAATGTGAAGAAGCGTCAAGCTTCAACATTTGACAATTGGCAATGTTAATTCTTCAATAAATTCATATTCATGGAATATAGTTTTTATTTTCTTGATAAAGATAATGTACTTATAGATCCTGCAAAAATTCATGTCTTTTTCTTACTAAATGTTTAGTTCATCGTCATCATCAAATTATATTATATTATTTTAGAAATTTAATTTATATTTGTTCAGTTTAGTTATATTATATGAATAAAATATAAAACTTATTTATAAATTAATTTTATAAGATTAAATTAGATACATATTTAATTTTTATATAATATTATTAAATCTTTGTATTGTTAATTATTAGATCAGTGTCATATTATCATATATTCTATATATTAGAACTTTTATTTTAACTTGTGATTGCTAAATTATAATATATATAAAAATATCTGTTAGAATTTTATGTTAATTAAACATGTGATTAAATTAGTAAAATTAAGAGGATGAAAAACTTTAGAAAGTTTAATTCTAGATGTTAAGTGTAGATCAAAGTTACACCACAATTATTCACCTTTTTATAAATAGAAGAAAATTTTAGTTAACGAGTTGAACTACATTACATTATATGAAAACTCAACTCAACTAGAGTAACAGTTTTTCCAAAGCAAACTAAAAAAATTGTATTTTAGTTTAGTTAATTACATTATACATTTTTTTTAACTAAAATACAAACACTAAATATACTATTGGAAACTAATGAAAATTAACATTCCAAAATAAAATAATTTATTAAAGTAATTTAGTGTATTAAGATTAAATTCTATATTATCGTATGAATCTATTTATAAAAAAATAATAAAAGATGCAGCAAAACCAGCTAAATCAACTATCTAAACCTCAGTACGTAGGAAAAAATATCATATGGGTCATTTAACTTATTTATTTATTATTTAAATGGGTTATTTTTCAAAAAATTAAAAATTTTGGTTACATCGAATGAATTAAACGTAAAATATATTATATATATTCTACACCTCCTAGGTTAATATTTATCAATTAAAATTAAAAAATAATTAATTTATTTTAAATGTTTTTTTTCAAAAGTTTTAATATATATATATATATGTATAGAAATCATAATTATATTAACTTATTTCTTATATGATAGTATATTTTTTATAAATTGGTTATCATAAAATTGGGTTACGTTAAAAAATAAATGTTAAAGTTTCTACTTCGAGTCGGAATGTAATTTTTAAGAATGTTTTATAACTATTGAGTTTGATAAAGGTATTTGAGTTATGAGATAATTTGGCTTCTCAACAAATTCTAAAAAATCAAATTAACATGAACAAAGCAAAAAATCAAAATAAAAAAATTAGAAGAAAAACAAATAAATATGAATCACATTATCTAAAATTTGGATTATCGTAAAAAATACTATTACAATCGACTAATTTAAATAAATAATTTCTTGGAAAATGATAATTTACATGAAAAAAATATTAAATATACAGCGATATTTTCAATAGATATATATTGTCTTTTTCAATAAAAATATACAAGTAACAAAGCCAAACGCACTCATAAAATTAAGGGGCAAACATTAAATTTTATATATATATATATATATATTTAAAAAATAAAAAATTATAATTATAATTATTTAAAAAAAATTAAAATTTTGAGAGAATTATGACTCAGACGCCCTCACTCGCCTCTCTAGAAGCAAACAAAATATATATATATATATATATATATATATATATATATTATTTTTATAATTTGTTTTATTCAACCATATCTTATAACATTCATATTTTATTATTTTATAGTCAATATTTGCATAATAAAATTGTTATTATTTAAATAAATTTATTTAATTAGTAGTAAAATTGATTACACAAAATACTTTAAATATTAAAGTAAAATATGAATATATTATTAAGACATAAGTAAAAATATATACAAATGGTTAATATTAATAAAAATTAGTATCATGCTCCTCATAAACCTATGGCATAAGTTAGAAATATATTTATTTTGATACAATAAACTATGACACAATGACACATTGAGCAACAATCTATGATACATTGATTAAACACACTAATTAACAAGTCACGTATCTATCTACCCATACTATTCAATGCCTTGTTTATGGTGGCTTTAAATTTGTACCTGAAGTCAATAATCTAACCACTACTGTTGTTCAATGCACACTGTCTCATTGTGAGTTCGTTTTGATTTGCCAATTACTCTACATGAGATAAGTTCTCATTAAAATTATATTCACACATCTTGCTTTTCCTTATACAATTACCCTTCTGTCTGTTCACTTACATTCTTACCATTGAGGAATATATATCATCCTAAATACTAAAATTTTTATAGTTGAATTCGGTGTTCTTATCTATCGTGCAACCATCATCGAAAATACTAATGATTATCGTCTTATTCAATGATATTTATAACTCTATAATAATGATTGTCTAATAATATACATGATTTAGTGTTATTTTGGGTTGTGAGACAATCACCACCCTTATATATATTACACACCGATTGACAACGTCTCATCACCCAAATACTTAAAAGCCTACTTCAGTCAACTCTATCATAGGCCTAAGAATATATATTGATCCAAAAAGAAAGTTTTAAGAGTATATATAATAACTCCTTACAATTGTGATCTTAAAAAGGAAAATCCTTACACTTGAGGAACATGTCTCAATACAATCATCCAATATAAATGTATTATCAATTGTACCTAGTTTTGTATCAGTAAGCTGTAGGACAACATTATTTTAACAATCACAACAAACGAGAGAAACGAAACCAATAAAATAATCAACAAATAACAAACACTACTTGTTTAAAGAGAAGATGTAAAAGGAACTTTGGTGGAAGGTAACCATGTGTTTCCAGCAATGAAGTTAGTAACGGTGAACTTTAAGGCCTCAGAAGCCGTAGTTATCACACGATAACCTTTCCAATTAACTCTTCCAGAAGTAGAAGAACCTGGGCCAGTGTTCATGTACTCTCCATAATATAATGTGTCCAATGCAAAGTCACCACTCCATTCTAACCAACCTGCTGGATTGATCAAACCGTCAAGATAAGTCTTCATGAAAACTGTTCTCGAATATTGCTTCCAAGGTCTTCCAAGATAAGTCTTAACCGAGTTTTGGACCGGAGTCAAATCTGAGGCAGCTGTGACTCTGCAATTGTGAATGGAAATTCCAGTGTTTTGGTTTGGATCGGTTCGACCTTGGGCAGTGATGGTGTTCACTTTGTTGGGCGGGTTTCTTGCAAATATGTTAGAATTTTGGAACACAACAGCAGCATTGCCAAAGATGAAGTCAACCGTGCCATAGATGTCGCATTCCCTGTAGAATTGTCTATCAGAGTAGACATACAGTGTGTCTTGGTAACCTTCGAAACTGCATCTGTAAAACACTGATAAGTCTGATCCAGAACGCAATGCAACGGCTTGGTGGTTTGCTGCACCAGCAGTGTTTCTAAACGTGATGTCTTGTGCTATAAATCCATCTCCAACAACAGCTGCAAAAATTATATGTGCTATTAAATGCCTAATCCTTCAATAACTCAATTTTTATTTTGTTTTTATGGATAAGAGAATGGTAACTAAGAAAAGGTTTTGGCTTACCAACAGTGGCTGAACTAAAGGTTGTGGTGCCCCCTCCAACACTTTTGCTACCTGTGATTATGGTCTTTCCAATACCATCCCCCACCAACATTATATTATTTGCTTTTATCTCAACTTGTTCATTGTATACACCACCCTTCACATATATCACATACCTTCCACTGCTACTCTTTGGTGCAGCATTTATGGCTGCACTAACCGTCGTGTACTTTCCAGACCCATCTTTTGCCACCACTACGTTGGCGTTAGAAGCTGGAGATGAAGCTTGCAACAACTTCCTATCACCTGGCTTCACCCATGCGGGAAACCCATCTTTGTAATTTGATTCTTCATATTGAACTTTGTTTAGTGCCAAAGTGTTGCTCAACAACTGGGAAACATTGTTGGACATGAAAGGCAGAAGATAGTCCTGAACGCCAAGGTCGTAGAACCCAGCTTTGCATGTCTCAAGGTTGGTGAGAGCTGTGCTGAGCCATGTTTGAGTATCAAGTTGGGAACACTTGGTGTTAGGGTCTAAGGTTTGGTTGAGTTTACGAATGGTTTGCTCATAAAGCTGAACACAATCAGCCCAAGCGGCTTTTTCACGAGGGTTTCTGCACTTTGAACCAAGTGAGAGGGTGCTTACATGGGCATTTAGAGCACGTTGTTGAGCAAGTTGCAGTGAAAGCTTGAAGAAATCAGATTTTTGCTTGATGGGTTGGTATTGATAAGTGGGGTTATTGGTGAAGAAATACTGACATGGTTGAGGGTTCGGAGTTTGGTTGCACCAAAGTTGAACGTCATTAGAAGAATAAGATGAAACGAAAGAGGATAGTAGGAAAGGAATGAAGAGTGGTAGGAGGACGCGAGAAGATTTCATGGCCTCTGGTTAACCTGCAATGGCTTTGGTAATTATAATATTCACTTTGAAACTGAATAACGATGAATGAGTGAGAGAACGATGAATTTGATTGGATTTGAATGTGTTTGATATGTCAATCTTCAGTCTTTATATAGAGAGATGTAGAAATTGTAAGGAATAGTTTGCAGCCATGGCCATGAAGATCAACGTAGTTAGCACAATGATTAGAAGAAAAAAAGTGGCTTATATATTCATGTCTTCACTTTCAATCTTTGTGTCTAGTCTTTGACTTAAAAATATTTTAGCAGCCAAATAAAACGCGTCGTTTTGTTACGTGCTGTCTTTTACGGAGGGTGGCTAATAGTTTTGGACATACTTCATTCTTCATGCATACATTCGCACATAGGTTTCCATTATTCTTTTTAATAGTTTATTCAAATTATTTAAAAAATATTATCTTACATTCCCTTATACTTAATTACGAAAATTAAAATTTTAAATTTTAAGATGTAAAGATTTTCAATGAATCAATATCTGTTCTCATGTTTAAATTACGATTTTAAGAATTTTAAAAAGTTTAATGATTTAGTTAATTTTAAGTAGACATTTAATAAAATAATACTCATATTTTTTATTTTATTTATAGTAATATTATATTTACTCATATATACATTATATAATCTAATTAATAAGAATATGAAATTAAATAATTATATTTTATAAAAATTTATTGAACGAATAATTTGACTAACTTTTACCTATAATATAAACAAATCTGAACTCTTATATTAGAAAATATTTCAAAAATGGTTCCTTGATTTCAACAACACATGGTGTTTTACCGGTTTGAAGGTTTCAAATGATAAATAAGCAACTTGTACAAATGAGAACTTTCAATGAGAATATATTCTTTTATGTACTTTTCAAAAATTACATATTATTTGAAACATAGACAGTTAATTTTTAAACTTTTAACACAAGTCTAGAGATTGACCTAACTAGTTATCTAAGATTAGAACATGTACTAGTTTTCTAAAATGTTAAGCCTCTTCAAGTGATGAACTTTTCTGGTATCTCAGGTATACACTGTGCAGAGTTGGCTTTCTTTTGCTCCGATTTTGATTTTTCAGACATTCCAAGCTGAATCTCCCCAACAAGGGTCAGAATTGAGTTAACAACACTTTCTCCACAAGTCAGCTCAACTTTACGCTCTTCCATGCTTTCTAGAGCACCACATATCTCCTTCCGTTTTGATTGAAATTGCTGAATCTGATCGTCAATTTCTTGGATTGCTAAAGAGTTTTTTTCCATTTCAGATTGTATTTCAGCTACTTTGCCCTTGAAATCATTTTTCAGACAAATAACTGTGTTTTTTGGCCTCTAAGTCAACTAAAAATATGTCTGCCTTTTTAATGTTCCCCTTGGCCTCATGGAAAGCCACACTGGCTAAGGGAATTTCTTCCATCAACTTTAATTTTGCTGCTAGTTGATCAGCACTTAGGTAGTGTCTTTGATGCAAGAATTGCAACTTCCATCACAGCATTGTTACAAGAGATCAAAGAAGGGAAGTCTCCAGAAAAAGGGAAGAAAGTTTTTCCTTGCAACATTCTATTGTTTGATTATCGGTAGCAGGAGCATGATCTTGTGAATTCTCAGAATGAGGCATAACAAGCATGTCCTCCAAATTATCAACATAGTCATCAAAATTCTCTAAAACAATAATCACATTGGGATATGTCTCTCCAGATATCTGCGTATCCAATCCTTTTTCAGAATCTATTTGCCTTTAGAAATCTCAGTTGGATCAACGTTTACCCCTTCATTGTCCACAAGACATAAATCAATTATGTCATTTGCATCTTGATCATGGGCTAAACTCTGACCAACATGAACATGAAGTAATCTGGAAGATTTCCTAGTTCTTTGACTGCATATTTGCGTTCTCCGTTTTAACTTCCTCTGGGTACTACTCTCTTCTGTGGCATCTTCTTCAGTCTCCAATGACTTCACTCGAGGGATAATGGGCAAAGATTGTCCAGCTAGAAGGTCATATACATCAAATTGTAAGAAATACATAAAAGGAAGAAGAGACAACAGAACAGAAGTTGCTAGAATATATGAGCTAGAAGTCAAGTTCCTTTGTAGCATATAAGAGGATCCCAACTTATTTCACAAACTTGAGACTAAAATTATTCTTGATTTGCTCATTTCAGGACTAAAATATTCATATCATCACCTTCACTTTCCAAGCTATTCAGAAAGACAACTGACTTAAACAGAGGAAATAATCATAAATATAGGTCACCACTAGCACATGATCCTATTAGTCTAGTATTATTCAGTCCAGGAGAACTACTATCAAGGAAGAGAGGTCATCCACATAAGACACAAGACATGTAGAAGGCTTATGTACTTGAAAAAGAGTGAAAAACTTAAATACCACAAATCAAGACCATGACAAAATCCAAACAATTAAAAAGATAACAAGGCAAAAATGGATGAGAAAGTAGCAACACCAGGTTGAAAAGAAAATTGCAAAACTGTAATATGCAGCAAACCTTTATTATAAGTTTTTCCAGCAGCAGGGATATGGCAGCTAAATAAATCAAAGAATGTTTCAACTCCCATGTTAGGAAAATTTGATTCGATGTATCTCTCAACATTAGGCCTGGTTCTCAAGCGAGGTCTATTGCTAGAAGAGTTCTGAAGAGTGGTTAGAAGGTAAAGGCTTCTATTTACAAAATATCCAGCCTTGTTTGTCCTGCTCAACACTTTCCAGCCCTATACGTCACCAGGATTTGGCCACCCTTAGCGTGCATATGGCAAACCTTCACCAGAAGAATGAGGTGACACTGTTTGAAGATCAAATATTTTCTCCTATCGCAAACAAATCCTTATAAGAATGGCTTCCCATTGGAGAGTCATTCTCCTCTTCTTGCTGGCTACTGCAATAACACAAGACAGCATCAACTTCTGAAAAGTATGACCATACTATCTTACTAAACAAACCACTGTCATTGTTCAAATTTCAGCCAACTAATGCGAAGGTTCTCACAAAATACTTTGTGTACACAAATGTAAAAATGTTGCTGACTTCATTCACCACTAAGGAATTAAGCTAAATATGTTAACCATAGCCTAACAGTTAGTGCTTAATATAAAATGTTGTTTGAGTTAAACAACAAAAGTGAAAGAATGACTTTTCAAACTCCAACAAGGAAAAATAAAATGTTGAGAGCTTGCATTGTGAGAAATATAGTATGAATAAAATATCACACAACATGGTAACCACAACTTGACTGTCTTTCTTTTCTTATGCAACATGATGCATGACCTTTAAATCAGGAATGTTTTCACTAATCTACATTTGTATATCAACCAGATTTAAGTCTAAACGAGTATGGTGTAAGATCTTAGAGTCTTCATGGAACACAAAAATTGACATGAACATCCATATTCAACAAAGGTCAAAGGCGACAAAACATCTTATTAGTGTGCAGTGAGCCATATAATATTTTTTTTCCAAATGAAGGGGCATTATTTCTACAATCAAATTTTGTGCTTAGATTACTTTAGGGTTGCACGGTGAGAAATAATTAATTTTTGTACAGCAAAGGTAAAATAATAAACAATTATCTATAATTGTTCACCTTGCGGAGTAATATGTTTCAAGTTTGTTATCCAAACACATTGTGAACGTTCTTGATCAGCAGTTTGTTTTAACCAAAAAAAGTTAAAACTTGGTCTTGTTTTGACCAAAATAAATAAAAACTTGATCTTGCTTGAACCAAGAAGGGTAAAATGGTGCATTACCAAAGATGAAGGAGCAAAAATGGGGAAGGAAGATGGGAAAGGGTGAGAACATTACCTGGTGGGAGTGGAAGAGTAGGAGAGAGCCATAGATGGAAGCAAGATTTTACCAACAAACATACATGCATTGTTTGTGGTATTACATTTAGTTAAGACCAAGAAATAGAAATTATTTCAAGAACAAACTAAATATTGATATATTAATGATCATAGAAAAATGTTAATATGATCTAATATATTTTCTTCATGTATCTTTCTTAACCATGTGAGTGAGATATTCACCAAAATCTTCTCCTAGTACTATTCTGAGTTAATTTATCTAAAAGCAAATTCGTTAACATCTTTAGAGCTCAAACTAATAAAAACATTAAAAAATAAATACACATTAAGTCATATATTATCTCAAATAATAAACTTAATTTCCTTAACCACAAAACTAATACATAATAACATTCTCTAATTTCCCCTATTTTTCTATATAACCGATAAATCTATCACCCTATATTATAATTTTGTTACGTAAACTTTAGAGTATTTTTTATTAATGTTTTATTATTTATATATATATTTATCTTTTATCTAAATAATTCAAATGTTTGTGAAGATTATTTTGATTGTTTTTTAAACTCAATAACTAAATTAGATTTATCACGATTAAATTAAGCATATCTCATATATCTAAGGAGTAAATTGATCATAATCATTATATTATACAAAATTAATTACTGCATACAAATAAATTATGTTTTTAAAATATTATTTTTCCATGTAAAGTTAAATTTTAAATTAATATTTTGTTGATAATTTTAAATTTATGTTTTCTTAAGAAATAATTAAGGTTAAAATCTAATTTTAAAAATATTTGAACTTTAAAAAAGATAATAAAATAATAAAAGTTACATTATAAACTACTATTTATTTTTAAAAAGTTAAAAATTAAAGCTTATTTTAAAATATGATTCATGTTTTAAAAATGATTTCTTCTATAGAAATCGTCTGTAAAAAGTTAAGTATCATATTTTTAAATTTTCTTAAAATATGTAATTAAAAAAAAACCCTGCAAGTAAAGAAAAACCACATAATAACTTAATGAAAAAAAATAAATGTAAGCAAATTGTAAGAGAAGATAATACCAATACCAAATAAAATCTTTGACCCACCAAAATTTAAGAAAATGATATTCAGGATCGAAGGATCGTTGACCAGATATTTATAATTTGTGAGTATTTAAATTTCTTCATTAAAAAAATATGTAATTGGATTAATTAAAAAAATAAAATTATGAGTGGGACCCATTTTGAAGGAGTAACGAACCATATCATTAACGTATCCGTATATTTTATTATTTTTTTATCTTAATAAATTAAAGATGAATGAATATATTAACTCTAAAAGATAAATATTTATTCTTAAAATTATATAATATTAAAGACAGATAAATGTAAAAAACAATTTAAGGTTTAGAAAAATTAAAGAAAACATATAATTAAAGAAAAGGGATAAAATGAAATCAAAGTTTTTTATTATTTTATTTATTAATTTATATTCCAAAAAAATATGATTAAGAAATATAAAAAAATAGATAATTTTTAATTAATTTTATTTATATTTAGAAAAAGAAATTGAGATATCTGATTCAAGAAATAAGAAGATATAAAATAAATTAATCAGTTAGAAAAAATAAAGCATTTACACAGTATGTCTTATAAATATTGTTATACATGACACCACATAATAATGGCTGTAGGAATCCCAGATATTTGTTTTCTTAACATATTTCTTCCATCCATGGCTCTCTCAGTCTCTTCCACTCCTACCAGGTAATTTTCTCACTTTTTTCTTTTCATCTTTATTCTCCATTTTTGCTTTTGGTAATGTACCATTTATCCTTCTGGTTAAAACAGATCAAGTTTTTATTTTCATTTTTTGGTTAAAACAAGACCAAGGGCAAGTTTTCATTTTTTTTGGTCAAAACAATCTGCTCATCAATGACTTTGTAAAAAAAAAAAAGAATTATTTAGCCCTACAGTAATCTAAGGACAGTATATGCTTATAGAAATCACCCTCCTTTATTTGGGAAAAAAATTACTGGGACACTGATAACAGGTTTTGTCGATCTTGATCTATGTTTAGTTTTGTCGTTTTTTTATTTATGTTGAATATGGATGTTCGTATCAATTTTTTTGTCTTCAATGAAGATTCTAAGATCTTACGCCATCCTAGTTTAGACTTGAATCGTACTGTCTCTAAGTACAATTGTAAATTGTTGAAAATAGTCTTGATTTTAGGGTCATGTTTTCTAAGTTGTTAATAGATGTTTTCATGAGGCTTTTATTGATAACAAAAATTTGTTGAAAGTAAGTGTTTCTCTTTCCTATAAAATAAAAATTATAGTTGGGTTTTTAAAAATTAAAATTTTGATTTTCTCAAATTCTAATATTAAATAATGATAATAACAGTGTAGATATTTTATTCATACTATATTTTTCACAAAGCAAACTCTCCACAGTTTACTTTTCCTTGTTGGAGTTTGAAATGTCATTCTACTCTACTTTTGTTGTTTAAGTCAAGCAACATTTTATATTAAACATTTTATAGTAAGCAGTAACGGTTAGGCCATGGTTAACATATTTAGCTTAATTAATGAAGTCAGCAACATTATTGTGATAACTTTTGTGTACACATTATTGTGATAACCTTTGCATTAGTTGTCTGAAATTTGAACAATGACAGTGGTTTGTTTAGTAAGATAGTATGTTATACTTTTCAGAAGTTGATGCTGTCTTGTCTTATCGCAGTAGCGAGCAAGAATAGGAGAATGACTCTCCAATGGGAAGCCATTTTTATAAGGATTTGATTTTTATAAGGATTTGAGTTTGAAAAAGGAGAAAATCTTTTATCTTCTATCTTCAACCAGTGTCACCTCATTCTTCTGGTGAAGGTTTGCCATATGCACCCCAAGGGTGGCCAAATCTTGGTGATGTATGGGGCTGGAAAGTGTTGAACAGGACAAACAAGGCTGGATATTTTGTAGATAGAAGCCTTTATCTTCCAACCTCTCTTCAGAACTCTTCTAGCAAGAGACCTCGCTTGAAAACCAGGCCTGATGTTGAGATACATCGAATCAAATTTTCCTAACATGGGAGTTGAAACATTTTTGCCTTTTTAATTTTTTAATTGTTTGGATTTTGTCATGGTCTTGATTTGTGGTATTTAAGTTTTTCAATCTTTTTCAAGTACATAAGGCCTTCTACATGTCTTAGGTTACTTACTGACCTCTCTTCTTTGATAGTAGTTCTCCTTGTATGGGACTGAATAATACTAGACTAATAGGATGATGTGCTAGTGGTGACCTATATTTATGATTATTTCTTCTGTTTCTTTTTTTTGTGGGTAAGTCAGTTGTCTTGCTTTAGTCTCAATTTTGTGAAATAAGTTGGGATCCTCTTATATGCTACAGAAGAACTTAACTTCTAGCTCATATATTCTAGCAGCTTCTGTTGTCTCTTCTTCCTTTTATATATGACCTTCTCTTATATGCTACAGAAGAACTTAACTTCTAGCTCATATATTCTAGCAGCTTCTGTTGTCTCTTCTTCCTTTTATATATGACCTTCCATTTGATGTATATGACCTCCCATTTGATGTATATGACCTCCCATTTGATGTATATGACCTATAATTTATTTATGTCTTGTGGACAATGAAGGGGTAAAAGTTGATCCAACTGAGATTTCTAAAGGCAAATCAGATTCTGAAAAAGGATTGGGTACGCAGATATCTGGAGAGACATCCCAATGTGATTACTGTTTTTAGAGAATTTTGATGACTATCTTCATAATTTGGAGGACATGCTTGTTATGCCTCATCCTGAGAATTCACAAGATCATGCTCCTGTTACCAACACTGTGGATAATCAAACAATAGTGTTGCAAGGAAAAACTTTCTTCCTTCTTTCTGGAGACTTCCCTTCTTTGATCTCTTGTAACAATGCTGTAATGGTCAGAAATCTGCAAAGACACTACCCTCAGTGCTGATCAACTAGCAAAATTAAAGTTGGTGGAAGAAATTCCCTTAGCCAGTGTGGCTTTCCATGAGGTCAAGGGGAGCATTAAAAAGACAGACATATTTTTAGGTGACTTATAGGCAAAAAAACACAAAGTTACTAGTCTGAAAAATGATTACAACGGCAAAGTAGCTGAAATACAATCTGAAATAGAAAAAAAAAAAAAAAAACTCTAGCAATACAAGAAATTGACGATCAAATTCAGCAACTTCAATCAAAACGGAAGGAGATATGTGGTGCTCTAGAAAGCATGCAAGAGCCAAAAGTTGAGCTGAGTTGTGGAGAAGCAAGTGTTACTAACTCAATTCTGATCCTTGTTGGGGAGATTATTCATCTTGGAATGTCTGAAAATCAAAATGGGAGCAGAAGAAAGCCAACTCTGTCCAGTGTATAGTTGAGATACAAGAAAAGTATCACTTTAAGAGGCTTAACATTTTAGATAACTAGTACATGTTCTAATCTTAAATAACTAGTTAGGCCAATCTCTAGACTTGTGTTAAAAGTTTAAAAATTAACTGTCTATGTTTCAAATAATATTTAATTTTTGAAAAGTACACAAAAAGAACACATTCTCATTGAAAAGTTCTCGTTTGTACAAGTTGCTTATCTATCATTTGAAACCTTCAAACCGGTAAAACAACATGTGTCCTAGAAATCAAGGAATTATTTTTGAAATATTTTCTAATATAAGAGTTAAGATTTGTTTATATTATAGGTAAAAGTTAATCAAATTATTCGTTCAATAAATTTTTATAAAATATAATTATTTAATTTCATATTTTTATTTATTAGATTATATAATGTATACATGAGTAAATATAATATTACTATAAATAAAATAAGAAATATGAGTATTATTTTATTAAATGTCTACTTAAAATTAACTAAATCATTAAACTTTTTAAAATTCTTAAAGTCGTAATTTAAACATGAGAACAGATATTGATTCATTGAAAATTTTTAATATTTACATCTTAAAATTTAAAATTTTAATTTTCGTCATTTAGTATAAGGGAATGTAAGATAATATTTTTTAAGTAATTTGAATAAATGATTAAAAAGAATAATGGAAACTTATGTGCGAATATATGCATGTAGAATGAAGTATGTACAAAACTACTAGCCACCCTCCATAAAAGACAGCACGTGACCAAACGACGCGTTTTATTTGGCTGCTAAAATATTTTCAAGTGATGACATGAATATATAAGCCACTTTTTTTCTTCTAATCATTGTGCTAACTACGATTGATATTCATGGTCATGGCTGCAAACTATTCCTTACAATTTCTACATCTTTCTCTATATAAAGACTGAAGATTGACACATCAAACACATTCAAATCCAATCAAATTCATCGTCCTCTCACTCATGCATCGTTATTCAGTTTCAAAGTGAATATTATAATTACCAAAGCCATTGCAGGTTAACCTTCATTCCTTTCCTACTATCCTCTTTCTTTTCATCTTACTTACGGATGTCAATTAAACACGTCCCGGTAGGGACCGACCCGTCCTCGCTCCGAGTTTGACGGAGAAAATCCGAGTTGACCGGGACGGGGTCGGAGTCGGGTTTTCCCCGCTTTAAAAAGTCGGGAGCGGGGGTGGGGATGGATAATGCAATCCCCACCCCAACCCCGTCCCCGTCCCTGTCCCCGCCCCGACTTTATATTTAAATTTAAAATATTAATATTTTAAAAGTATTTCTTTTTTTTTTCTATTACATATAAGGTCATTTTTTTATATTTCACCAATTTTTTTTCTTCTACCCACTTTTTAATTTTTTTGTCTTTTTTAATCTTTTATATCAGTTAATTTATTACATTATTCTTTCTCTTACCTTTTAGTTTTTTCACATTTCCTTAATCTCTCTTATCAATTTTTTTTTCAATCTTTTCAACCAATTTGATGAACACAATTTTTTTTATTCTTTATCTTTTTCTAAATATTTTACATAAATCTTAGTAGTAACTAATATTATTTTATTTATAATTTATATTTATTAGGTTTTATTATGTCATATTTTTTTATCTTATTATTCTTATTTATCATATATCAAATTTTATCTTAATAAAATAATTGTATTTTAAAGGATTAAAGGAATTGATAATTTAAATTTTTATTACTTCGAACTAATTGAATAAAAATTAACTTATTAAATATTTCCTTATAAACCATATATTTCATATTTTTAAATGATAACTTAAAAGCTGAATTAACTTATATATATAATCAAATGTTTGAATACGAGTATTATGATAATAGTGTTATAAATATTCAAATATTTGAATACAATGTTATAATAATAATAATATTATAAAAAAATGATTAAATATTTCTTTTGCATACATATTTTAATATAAATATAATAAATTAAAATGTATATTTAATTAATAATAATTATAAATTATAAATATTTATTTATATATAAAAAATAGATAGTAAAATTAATTTATTATAAATGTAATTATCTTTTTAAAAATAATATAAATCGGGGACTGGGCGGGGAACCCAAAACTCGGTGGGAACGGGGATGGAGACTTAATTTCTAACCCCGGCGGGGATCGGAGGCGGGGACGGGGATGGTTAAAAAAGTCGGGGGCGGGGATCGGGGAGGCAAAACCCGCCCCCCTCCCGCCCCGTTGCCATGCGATTCTTACTCTTTCAATGACGTTCAACTTTGGTGCAACCAAACTCCAAACCCTCAACCATGTCAGTATTTCTTCACCAATAACCCCACTTATCAATACCAACCCATCAAACAAAAATCTGATTTCTTCAAGTCTTTGTTGATAAACGAGTATCTAAACAAAATACTTTATATGTTATCACTTGATGTTTTTACAATGAGTGGTACATGGTCAATTTATATGCCTTTGGACATGACCTCTCAACTACATGTATTTAATACAACCACTACTTCTCAACTACATACATTCAATATAACCACTACCTCTCAACTACATACATTCAATACAACCACTACCTCTCAACCACTATCTCTATAACCACTACCTCTCAACTACATGCATTTAATGTTTACCTAACAAAATCCCTCCATAAACTTAAATGTTTTTCTTGTCCTTCATTCCAAGTATCTTCTTGTTGTTCTCAAATAGAGTGGTTGACAGTGACTTCATGAATATATCTGCAGCTTGTACTCTGGTTCCGACGTGCTCTAACTCCACATTTCTTTCTTTCACTTGTTCTCGGATGAAGTGAAACCGAACATCAATATGCTTGCTTCTCTCATTATTGATCGGGTTCTTTGTCAATTCAATGACTGACTTGTTATCAACTCGAATCACAGTCCCTCTTTCTTGCTTTAACTCCAGCTTTCTTAGAAGGTTTCTAAGCCAAACTGCATGGCAGACACTCCAAGATGCTGCAACGTGTTCGACTTCGCAAGTGGACAACGTTACAATGAGTTGTTTTTTAAAGCCAAGTGAACGTTGTGTTTCCCATGAAGAATACATATCCAGACGTGTTTTTCCGATCATCAACATCTCCACACCAGTCACTATCTGAGTAACCTACTAGTCGGTAATCATCCGTCCTAGTATACATTAGGCTAAGTGACACTGTTCCTCTCACATACCTTAGAATTCTCTTCAGTGCCTTCCAATGAGTATACCTTGGTTCCTCCATATACCGACTTGTTATTCCAACACTTAGTATTAAATCTGGTCTGGTATTTGTAAGATACCTAAGACTTCCAATCAGACTTCGGTATTTGCTCGTATCAACTTGGTCTCCATCTACATACTTAGAAAGTTTTGTACCAGGTTCCATAGGGGTGGAAACCGAGTTGCAACTTTTCATCTTAAACTTCTTCAAGACCTCCTCAGCATACCTTTCCTGCGACATAAAGATGTCATCCTTTCCCTGAACAACTTCTAAGACAAGAAAATACTTCATAAGACCCAAGTCAGTCATCTCAAACTCCTTCTTCATCACTTCTTTAAACTCTTCAATCAGCTCGACATTATTTCCCATGAAGATAAGGACATCAACATATAGAGCAACAAACATCACATATTCTCCTTTCTTCTTTATGTATAGAGCATGTTCATAAGGACATTGCTCATATCCATTCCTTTTGAAGTAAGTGTCAATTCTTTCATTTCATGCTCGTGGAGCTTGTTTCAAGCCACAAAGTTCCTTCTTCAATCTCAACACTTTCTTCTCTTCACCTTTTCGCATGTATCCGAGTGGTTGTTCAACATATACTTCCTCCTCCAAGACTCCATTCAGAAATGCCGACTTCACATCTATCTGCAAGATTGTCCATCTGTGTTGAGCTGCTAAGGAAATCGACAATCTAATTGTTTCCATCCTCGTCATTGGGGCAAATACTTCGTCATAGTTTATTCCTTCTTTCTGCTTGTACCCCTTCACTACGAGTCGAGCTTTATATCGCTCAACTTCTCCTTCAGCATTTGTCTTCTTCTTGTATATCCACTTTACGCCGATAGGTCGTGCTCCTTTGGGCAAATCAGTCAACTCCCACGTGTTGTTGCGTTCTATTGCTCTGATCTCCTCGTCCATTGCCTTTTGCCACCTTTTCTCCTGCACGACCTCTTCAAAACTTAAGTCTTCTGAATCTGCTAAGAAACATACAACATGCACTTCGTCAGTGGAGTTGTATATATCTTGTAAACTTCGCGCTCTGGGTTGTAGAGATTCATCTTCTTCATCAGAAATCTCATGATCTCTCACAGTATGTGGTGTATCAACTTCCGAACTTCTTCTTCCTATGGACTCATTCTCCGGTTTGTTCCAACTCCACTCGCTCTCTTCATCAATTTGAACATCTCGGCTCATAATGACCTTCTTAGTTATTGAGTTAAACAACTTGTACACCTTGGTTTTTTCATCATTACCCAATAAACACGTACTTTTTGCTTCTATCTTCGAGCTTGATCCTTTGTTGAGCTGGAACATGACCATAAGCTATGCTGCCAAACACTTTAAGGTGAGACACACTCAGCTTCCTTCCACTCCAGACTTCTTGCGGTGTCTTCTAGTTTAGCGTAGCATGTGGACATCTATTTTGCACATAGATGACACATTGCACTGCTTCTGCCCAAAATTCCTTTGGCACGTTTTTGCTTCTCAACATTGTTCGAACCATGTCAAGAATGGTTCGATTCTTCCTCTCGGCAACTCCATTTTGTTGGGATGAGTATGGTGCTGTCAGAAATCTTCTTATCCCTTACTCCTCGCAATACTTTATGAGCTCGGATGAAATGAACTCGCCTCCTCGATCAGACCTGACAGATTTGATAGGCATGTCAGTCTCTTTCTCAACCATTGTTTTAAATCTCTTGAACACCTCATATTTCTCCTTCAAAAAATATACCCAGGTTTTTCTTGAAAAATCATCTGTAAAAGAA